ACAAGAGTGTTCACACGGGATGAGATGTTCGCTCGCGGTTGCACTTACTTATTTGAATGCGCGCAACCTTCGAGCATCATCGAGTTGAGTGTGTGCGAGAGCGTTGTATAGTGAGCACGGCACTTGATCGTGGTCTTAATGAGGTTGTTAATTAAATTACATTTATATCTCTCAATTTATTCCGTGATTTTTTTACGATGAGCTGATAATTGAGGAGATAAACTAAACTTTGCCGTGATAAGCCTGAACTCTGTGACGTGAAAAAATTGAACTCTATGAATTGCGAAAAATCTGTAAAGATAATATTGTTGCAAACGTCTTCGTAACAATAATATTGAAAATAATTTAGTATAATTATATTTCCTCAGAAACAATTTAAACTTTAAGAAAACTTTCTTTTAGGACAGAATAGTACGTATTAGGACATTTTTGAACACCATAGAAATACTCCAAAAATCAATTATCGATCGTGACAAATCACTAAGGACCAAAAACAAGTACCGCATATCAAGATGTTGATCTAGGTAGAGTGATGAACAATCCTCATATTGATTTCCGTCAAATTGTACGCAATTGCAATATACATTGGTTTACGAAAGTGTTGAAAATATGACATACAATGGAAATGAACGTAAAATCTGCAGAGTGATAGACACTTTCAAATTACGTGATGCATAGGTAAATATGTATTTACTGTATTTGTGGGTTATGTATATAAATTTCATTGAAACCGAACAATATATTTACAATTTAGCTAGAATGATTTTATTAGGTTAATGATTTTTTCATATTTTATATACTTCCGTGGATCAATGTATGTATGTATACTTCTCTCAACCCACTGTTTTGCGTATTTTGTACCGTCAGTATTTTCATTCTTTCGTTATATGAAGAATCTCATAGGGATAGTTTCCACTATTTTGTCGTTTCTCGCGAATGGGTGGTGGCAAGTAGTGGTAAGTGAAGTATGAGCAGTCGTGAATGACAAGTAGAAATTGATATATCACTTTTTAATTCTGGAACGACCACAAAAAAACAATGTAAAAGACCGAAGAAGACCGAAAAATGATTGAAAAAAGAAGTAATACATTTTATACAGTTTTCAGATAGTGTCGATTTTTTTTGATACTCTGATCACACAGAAATGCACCCAATCAAATACGAAAATTAAGGTAATTAAACAAATTTTCTAAACGCTTTACCTTATGTTAAAAACAGATTTGCACTTAAATTTACAAAATTAACAATGTCCTGTTGAATATAAATACTACGATATATTTAAGAAAAAGTATACTTTATCAGAAAGTATGAAAACTTAGTAAAGTTTTCTACTGCAGTATCAAGATCTCGCATAGGACTATTAATTAATCAATGATTTTCTACGTAAATCCTATTCCTTGTACAATCTAGAATGGCTTCTCTGTATTTGGTGTTTCATTTGAACTTATGAATGAGAGAAATCCCCTCTTTTGGTGTTCTGCATAATGGTAATGTCCATATGTTTACTACATATACGGTATCATTTTTAGCTAAGAATTTATTATTCATAAGTAATTCATGGAGAATTGCATTTGGAATTGATATCAAGTTTTCAATATCTTCAGAGCTAAATGCAAATCGATTTTGATAATTATTTCTGTTTCTAGGAATAGACGGATTAGGTACATTAACATTAAATTTGTAAGATGTTGATATGTATGATTTTCAAGGCACTTTTTGGTGGAATAGAGCTTAATTTTTGTTTTTCCACATTGGATGTTTGGCACAAATTCTTAACACTAGATTTACCGAATCCGTTCAATTTGACGGATACTGAATTTTTTAAAATATTATTTAGTAGCAGTTCAAGTCGCTTTCGGTTCGTGCAATTATGCGAATATACATTGCAATCTACATAAATGAACACGTAGTTTTCTAGAACTAATAGAATAAAGTGTAGAATAAACGTTCGTAAATCTAGTGTTAATAACAATCAATATATTATTGATATATAATATTATAATATTATATATCAATATATTCTGAAAGTTGTTCTATGGAGAATTGATTTGCAAAGAATTTATAATATCGCCTATTTATATAAAACAATTAATTTCACCCTCGAATATAATTAATTGAAGATTATAGAAAAACAATTCAATGTACTCAAAACAAATGTTTCAATTCAAAACAATTATTTCGTAAGTAATTATCTGTAGTTACACACCTTCGTTTGCAAGAATAAAGCGGTCCGTAGCAATCCCAAGCATAACTATGTATAGTGTATCTATATTTTATCAATCAGAATAAATATCTTGCACAAATTGACAATAATCATTTTACAACCATAATTATTAAAATCAGATATTATTTTTATATTCAGATATGTATTTTAAACTTTCAGAATTCATTTTGCAATGTACTTACTACATGACGAATATTATGGCAAATTATAAAATTTCTTTATATGTAAAGTTTGAAAACTTAAGTTTAAATTTGTTTTTAGCATATGACTAGATCTTCGGCAACAGATCTTTTAATTATCAGGATAACATAAACGATAAGTACAACGAAAACTATGCTTTGACGCTTTGATAAATTTCGGTATCTTTGACGTCCTATATCTCAAAAACTAGTTGACAACTCAAGTTAAAAATTTGCGGTGATTACTGTCAGGCGTTACAAAAAATGAATATGTAAAACTTTCGACAGTAAAACTTTTTGTTGCGTGTTGATGATGATTGCGTGTTCTTCGAATAACGTATTTACATTATAATAATAAAGAAATTTCCAGTGGTCATTTGAGGTTTAAAAGCTAATATTGACGAAGAAATTTATCCATCTAATAAAAATCCTCATTAATTATAATAAATGTAAATTCAGTGTGTGTATAGCGTAAATTTATGCTGCAGTATGATCGCAAACAGATTTACTGGTCTCTATTCTATCAGTGGTGTGGTGGCCTTTAGCACATGTAGGTAAAATGTAATCGATATTCTTTACTAGTAATAAGCGATATTAAAAATTTATTTGTTTATAATTTATATTCTAGAAATTACAGTAGTACCCCCTATAACGCGATTAAAAATTCGTCGAAAAATAGCTATGAAAGTGAGATTTTTTTATAAGATATTAATACAAACAGAAGACCAACTTAATACAAGCTGAACCGGTATCCAAGAGGGGAATTTTACGCGAAATTCGTAAACATGACATCTTGTAATACAAACTATTTTAATCGCGTTATACAGGGTTCTACTGTAAGTTATAGCGGTGAATAATAAAAAGGATAGGAACTACATTGGGATTTCTGAGCAGGATCTTGGTTAGCATTGGATTGTCAACGATCACTGTGATTTAAGATAAAATTGATAGGAGCGCTGAATTTCAAAGAGCAGATACAGAGTGGCATTTATCAACGTACGGTTACCCAGCGTGTAAAGCAAGTGTGTTATTCGGATCAGAAAATTTCCTAAACGATGGATCGGAGCTGATGGCACGGCAAATTGGTCAGTTCGTTTTCCGAATTTTACTGTGGTCGACTCTTTTTCATGGCGAAGATTAGGACATAATATTTTTAAAACCAACGTTTACTCTTAGTCTACCGAGCTTATCTTTGTTTCACTTTAGAACAAAATCAAGTTAAAATGAATAACCAGGCGTAATTTGTATTTAAAAATAGAAACAGAAATATTAGGCGAGAGAAGATAAATAACTACCATTAGGATGTTTAAACTAATTAATTGAAATGTTTTATTAGGTTTTTAAATGTATTAACCTGTTGGCAGTTTGAGGGTTAATGTTCGCATAATTATGAACGATTTTGGATTTAACCTTTGCCTAACTGTTTCTGGGTTCATTAAAACACGCGTTGGTCCAAAGTCGCGATCGTGCGACGCATGTAAACATTGCTGTACGGTTACTTTCAATTATTAGTCCGCCGCGAAGGTCTAAAGCGGTTTATGTAAATGTGTCTAAATTTGAATATTTTACTATACTTTACTTCCATATATCTGTTTCTTCGTCTTACTTTTCATCCGCTGACTTTCACATAAGTTACTTGAACCTTGAATTAACTGAAAACTTGTGTGAGAAGTTATTAGTGGATATATGGTACACACCGCAGGATTTAATTATAAAAATAGTTTGCGTGATTTTTATGAAGTCCTTTATGTAACACAGAGTGTACTATGTCCGTGCATGATCACACATTTTTATTAACCTTAGTTGTATTTTAAGAAAAAAAGTTTCCTTTTGCCTTCTTGCTCGAGAGTGTAGAAGTATTACTTCTTACGGTAGCCTTAACACACTACGCATGTGTACGAATTTGTTATATTTGTTATATTCTTGTAGATACAAGAACTAATATATAAAGACGGCATTAAAAGTTCACAGTACTTATGTAGTTACGTTTCAGTATCAAGGGAATAATACCTGTAATACAAATTGTAATGTCAAGAAATAATATATTTTTATTATTTTTATTATATACTTATACATGCGTATTTATTATATATTATTATTGTTTACATTCATTATTATAATATATATTATTTATTAATGTGCTTTAAAAACTAGAGTCCAAAATAGTAAAATTGCGTAAATATTTGCCGTGAATTTCTAATTTACTCTTGTTTTGAACAAAAACAAAATCAGAAAATGAAAAATCGTACAATGGAAGTTCTGCTGCATTTAATTTGAATAGAGATTAATTTTACCTGTTGTATTTGATGCGGAAACCTTACAGCTCGGCCTTTTTATCCTCCTTTTCACCTAATTATAACTCGATGGTTAATGTATAATATTTGTTTATCAAATGGTCAAAGAAAGTTTTCGTAAAAATTGTTTTATTTGTTCTGCAATATTTTGGGATAACATAATGGACAAGCGATTGAAATGAATAAATTATTTAAATTCGGTACATGTTCCATAAATTATAATCAAATTGTTTTATTTCAAATTTCAATATATTTTAGTGCTATCATTGTTTCTTCAATATTTTTATTAAGCAGAAATGGAAAAGTAGGTCATTTGTTCAGAATAATTGCTTGAGATCACGAAGTATGAACGAGTATTATAATGCGTATAAATCGGGAACTCGTGAAAAGTGCATCGTAAACATTGTGTCAAATCCATGATTCATTGTCTTGATTCCTTTGTTTATGTAAATGAATCGTGTCGCGTATTTAGGTATGTTGAAATTTTCTGGAATCATTGCAGGAAAAACTCTATGATTACATAAAGATGTTGAAAGGAACTCCGAATTGGTAAATACCACGTATTATATTGGTATTTTCCTCGACATGTATGGAAACTAAAAACGATTCATGGAAAAATCCAGGCATTAGATCAGTGGTTCTTAACCTTTTCAGAATCACAGAAAATTTACAGATTTTACAAGATTTTTTGTGGAACACGGTCGTAAGATAAAATAATAAAGTAAAGGCACCAGCAATTAACCTGATATATCAGTAGTTGACTATGTTTCAGGAAAACGTGAAAAACGAGATTTTTAAAAGTAGGAAATTCCTAAGTTTTTAATTTTTTATGACTGAATCCTTCGTTACTTGAATTGTGATAGTTTTATGTTTAATAAATGTCATGTTTTTGTTATTCGAACCTCAAAGAACATAAATGACAGTAGAGTCAACTACTGAATATTGTCACTCCTAGAAGTTGACAGGTATGGTCAACTACTGACATAAATTATTCAAATTTATTAACTAATTAATATCCATTAATATTCATTTTACATGTAATTTCATCAGAAGTAAAGAACAGAACTCTCGATTTTGAAGTATAATGCATTTTAGTAGATGACCATATGGTCGACTATTGACTAAAACTATGCTCAGTTATTGCTTCAATTTAATGGAGTATACATTTGTTAAACAAATACTTAGGTAATACTATTAAAATCAACAAAATATTGAAGTGCATGTATTGTACTTACGCATTTCCGATTATGTAAAAAGCGAAGATAACGAAGAATCTACGGAAGAAAATGAATTGTTGAACAACTATAACTGTTTACCTATTAAGAGGACTGAAAATGAATATGTAATATTTTTATACAAAGGTAAATATTTTCCTGAGGAAATACGAAAGATATAGTTTCTCGTATTAATGTGCCTACTAGATCAAGCAAAACTCGAAACATTTACTCTGTTCCTGAATCAGATTTTACATGGAACGAATTTCTTTTCATTTGTATTTGTTCTTTTAATTGTAATTTGTCACAATCGTCGCAAACTAAAATAACTACCTTTAGTGTTTTTGGTTTTACTATAAGAGGTCAATTGCTAATTAACATATGCTCAATTACTACATAGTTCTCGCGTTTTCAAGGATGGTCAACTTCTAACGCAAATATTGAATATTCAAAAATGTTTATAAAAGTTGGATAATACAATTATTTCAAGAAAGTTCGCTTTGTTACATAATGTACAAAGTTCAAATAACATTTTCACGCATAGTGTCTTTGTATTTAATAAAGGAGCAAGCGTGTACTATTATTTACGCAGAAAATTTATCTGAACTGGTCAACTACTGGTCCTTTTATCCTATATTTTTTAGATTGAATAACAATTTTCTTAGCGGGAGATTTGGGCCTGGTGACTTTTACAATGTAAATGTTTTCAGTATCTGACCTTATGTGTGAAATAACTACTCTCATTTCCTCTTCTACAATATATTTGTCAGCCTTCCATGATTCCTTCTCTTGAATTCGTTAATGTTGAAAGCCCAAGCTCGCATAAGTACAATGTTGAAAATTGTAATAAAAATTTAATCACTTTTTTAAAAGTGGTTTTAAACTCGGTTTGAACAGAAATCCAATATTCTTCAACTGTTATTTCGGAAATTTCATTTTGAGAGTACGATCCGTTGGCAACGTAATCAATTCTTCGTCTTTCTGTAACGAAAACTCATAACTTGATCTGTTGACTGCAGAAAATGCATTTCGTATCCGCGAAACACCGGTTAAGAACCACTGTATTAGAACCTGGAGTACTAAAAACAATAGGTATTCCGACGAATAATTACGATCGTATAATTTTATTGAGAAATCAATGATTTGGTTATTCTTTATACAAGAATAAGTGTTTCCTCCGATTAAAGAAAGAATTGAATTAATGATATTTAAAAATAAAGTTATAAAGCGTATATTAACAATACGAAAATATTGTTAATAATTTGTTTATGTATATTATTGTTTTAATAACAGTATATTAAATTGTCATAATTTTGTAAAGAAAATATAATTTACTTGGTTTCATTTCAAAGCGAAAAGCTTTTACTGTTACATTGTTGTGTTTATTTTGTTCCAAACGGCTTTATAAATGTTGAAAAATTTGTTGTGTCACTAAATCCGCCGTGGTCTTGAGGAACACCAACTCTCCTCTTTGAGATTGCTTCTTTCAGTAGTATACTTTGTTTATTTTTCATATCTTTCTTTATTTCTCACTAATACAGTCCACTCGAAAATCTTGAAAATTGAGATCTGAAAATAATTATACTGTTTCAAGGGCTCGCAAACATCTTCATATTTTTTGTCAAATGTTATAATTTTCTGAGTAACATCTCGAAATAATGATTTTTAGTATTCGTTTACTACAATTTTTAATTTTTATTGCAAAATTACATGAAGATTCGGATAAAGGGTTATTTATGTATTAACTTAGGGACTACACTGAGTGTTTTAGAATTTTTCAGATTTTTACAGAAACCATCTGATTGGAGCAATGAGAAATCAAGTCTGACCAGAAAAGATCCATATTGCCGGCCACTGTTGATGAAACATGATATCGTTGTCGAGTTAATCGTCGGTTAATCGTTAACCGTTATTAATTATTCATTTCCATTTTAATCATCAACCATCAATCATCAATCATTATTCACTAATCACAACTGACGGTTAGAATGAAAATTTAATCGTAAACTGTACTCAAAGATTCTAGTCGAAAGGTGTAATCGTCGGTGGTCGATTAATCCTACGATTCGTCTAGTATTTTGACCAAGTTGTGTACAAGATTCGATTTGTAAACAGCAGAGCGATTGCACCTCTCCACGCGGCCAGCTATCCCCTCAACTGGCGCACAGAAAGCGCGATTGTATATATAAAGGGAACATGCAGTTAACAGGCAGAGCCGAAGAACTCCGGTATCTTGGTGGCAACTGTCCGCGTGGTTTGGCAAGAGAGCATTGCCGCTATCAGTGTTAGTTCGGCTGTCCTCGCGCGAGCGTCTGAGGCTGTTCCGCGCAGCGCCGTTCGCAACCACGGTCTCGTTCGCAACGAAAAACGAGACGCACCGAATTTCCGTGTTTACGCGCGTATCGTTCTCTCGGTAATGCCTCCGTTCGTTCCTGCACTGTCTAAGAAGCCGATTGGTGAAACCAGCGTGCATCGTTCGCGAGAAAGTAATCGCCAAACGTGATTCTTTTAAACGAAAATTCTCTGACACCACGGGAAATACATTCGACGACTGTTCCTCCCTGTAGACCGGCACGGTTCTTCACGATATTCGCTCGTCAGTGGTCATCGATATATTATGTAAACGAGACGATACGTCGAGTGCCGCGGCGCTACGTAAAGATAAATAACCGAATTAAATTAGGTTCCCTCGCCGCAACTCTTCCGGGCGCGCAGCTGTTGTAATCCATTCGATCTAAGTCATTCGAGAAGCCGTACCAAGAGTGACATTCCCTCTTTCCTTTCTTTTTTTTTCTATCTGCCTGTCCTTCTGACGAACGTTGAACGCAACTCGCTTGTTTCCATTTTTTTTTCTTCACTTCTTTTTTGCCTGCAACCGTGTCAGCGCGTAAACACAACATTCGGTTCGATCGGTCGTTGCCAACGGAATTCCGGCCGAACGGAACGGCAGAGGCGTACGGAGAGAGATCAGTGTGGCAGGGCAATCACAGAGAAACAGCCGGAAAAGCTTCGTGTTACGATTTCAAGAGATCTTATCGTTTCGGCTTTGTTTTCATGATAAAACACCGATTCTGGTAGTTTGTACGTCGAGGATTAGTGGCAGCTGAAATTCCGTGAGATGTGTCGCATTCTCGCATCAATGTTGGCGACGAGATTTCGCAGGACGTCGAAAAGTCGCTCCACAGGACTCGATCTTAAATAACGACGAACCGTTCTCTTTCCCCTTCTTTCACTCACCTTGTCCAGTCACATCGATCAGCTGGAAGAACTACGGACACCTTTGGAAGAATCGAATCATAGGAGAATCAGAAAAATACAATTAAAAGAGAATTCGGGGAGTCTATTGGACGTCGAACACTGATTAAGAAAAATTCGGATGGCAGCGTCAAGATTGTAGGAGCTTAAAGAGGATTCAGTTACGACTAGCTCCTTCGATTATTCGAATCGATCGGTAAAGTTTGTTTCGTATGAGGTGTGGCTACAATTTTAAGGAAAACTAAACTGTCGATTTGTCAGAAAATTAATCTCGAGTGTTTTTGATACGGTGAAATTGATCGTGAAAGAATCATTTCGGGTTTATCAAGTACACACGGGACGTGACGAGTGGTGCGCAGTGCACGTTCTGGCACGTGAGAACGTCTTCGCGTTTCCATAGATTTTTCGGCTGTCTATTCTGGAATTAGAGGGACGGGAGTCCTCGTGCGCCATGGTATGTTTCCCTTTGTTTATATTATTTATCTAGTGTCAATATTATGGTAATACTGTGACAATACGTAACATCCCAGCTTTAGTAATAAGTAGACTGCGGATTTTTAAGTATTTGAAAATTATAGAAAACATTCAAACTGTAATGTTTCTTATAGGCTTCATTAAAAAAATACAGTTTTCTGCAGTAATTCTGTTATTCTAATTAGATCTGAAACATTTGAATTTGCATAAAGATCTGCACTCTAGTAACAAGTTTAGTAAAACACTTTATCACTAAACATACCACCCGCTTTCAAATGCCTGGCATTTCAAAATAAAAAAAGTCACCTATATTGTTCCCAGTTCTCGTTAAAAGAAAATGAACGTGTATTTTTATTTTTCTTGTTATCTAAACGATAATTTATTTTTCTTGTATTAATCTTATGTAGACGATAATTGTTTAAACTTTTACCAATTGTTTCTATAAAAAACTGAATTATGAGATCGTAAATACTAAAAGAAAAGGAAACTATATAAATATTATACATACGTATCAATCGCTTGTTATTTGAATAATCAAATTATTTATTTGCAGCTGTTGATTTTAGATATTAAAGCTTGAAATCGCCGTTGCTGCGGTATTTGACCGCGAAAAGTTAAATTGACATTTACCTGTGTTGTTTTCGAAAAAATACGACCTTTATTTCATAATCGGTCAATTGATCGATTACGATAAGAGTACTTACATGTAAATATATATACATATAAAATGCTGATACATCTAGTGTTGGTATGACGTTTTAATACTATATAAATTTGTTAGGTCTTTGTGTAAATTTAAGAGAAAGTTTATTTGCTATCATAGAAGCACATTTTACTTCATTTTTTTTTTATGGAAAATCGATCTACTTAATATTCTATAACGTTATTTATCACAGAAACGGAATGATTCATTCTAAATTGATAAAAATTTTAATTGAATGTATTGTACGGTATTGTTACTGTTATCTGATAGTGATATAATAACGATCACGTTCTCCTATGACCTATATTTATCTCTTGCTTATTGATTAAAATGCTGCTGTTGATTAAAAACTGTTTCTAATTTAGTTTCTATTTTAATGCATTTTAATTTATTTTCATTTATTTTCATTTATTTTTTTCTACTTAAAATAGAGAATTTCCGATGGAAAAGTTTTCTTGGCTGTTTTGTTTTATAGAAATTGATTTAATTGTATAAAAATAGATTTTTCAAATGA